ATGTGGGTGTTTATATTAATGCATAATATTGGAACAGTGTTTTCTGTGGCAGAATATTTCTAAATTCCTAAAAGTGGGGATAAAGGAATTTGTTTTTCAAATTCCTGAAGCTTCAAACAAGGAAGAATAAATAGGAGTCAATAACTGAGGGTGCCACCTACTGGCTCAAGTGGAAACGTATAATGCAACAATTATCAAACCTGCTCGGCCCTTTACATCCTTCTGGACTTAATACTGAGTTCAACACCTTCAAATTGTGAACCCACTCCCATTCCTTTCCCTCCTTTTAGCTGTACTTTTACATTCTCTATTACCATGTCTTCCCTCCCCTCCCCCCATCCCAGTGGGACTGTCCTTTCCAGTCTGGCAGTTAGACACACCATTGTTCTGCCATTCTCACATTCCCATCACTTAATCTGACCTATCAACATCCTTTCTCCCCCAGCACTCCACCGTTCCCACCTCCCCGCTCCCCCCCACCCCGCAACTATTGCATAAATGCTATCCCCTCCACACTTCACACTTCACACCAGCTCTGATGAAGAGACATCTACACTCAAAATGTTAGCTTGCTCTCTCTCTCCATGGATGCTGCCTGACCTCCTGTGATCTCCAGCACTTTTTGTTTTTGTACAGAGTCCAGCATCTGCAGTCATTTGCTCCGAGAAATTGCAGGTGGCTCAATAAATGTGTTAGTATCTCTTCCTTTGAAATCGTCATTTGTAATATTTTGCCATCTTCAAACAAGCAATGTTATTTTAATTTCCTTAATGTTGAAGAGGCCCAGTTTATTTGTGTTTCACTGCAGTTAATACAATAATATATAAAACATTTTTATGATATTGTGAAAAGATGCATATTGTGAATCAAAGATAACAAGGTGTAGAGATGGATGAGCACAACACGCCAAGCAGCATCAGAGGAGCAGGAAGGCTGACATTTCAGGCCTAGACCCTTCTTCAGAAATGGGGGAGGGGAAGGGGATTCTGAAATAAATATGGAGAGAGGGGGAGGTGGATAGAAGATGGATAGAGGAGAAGATAGGTGGAGAGGAGACAGACAGGTCAAAGAGGCGGGGATGGAGCCAGTAAAGGTGAGTGTAGGTGGGGAGTTAGGGAGGGGATAGGTCAGTCCAGGGAGGATGGACAGGTCAAGGGGGCAGGATGAGGTTAGTAGGTAGGAGATGGGGGTGGGGCTTGAGGTGGGAGGAAGGACAGGTTAGGGAGGCCGGGACAAGCTGGGCTGGTTTTGGGATGCAGTCGGGGGAGAGGAGATTTTGAAGCTTGTGAAGTCCACAGTGATACCATTGGGCTGCAGGGTTCCCAAGAGGAATATGAGTTGCTGTTCCTACAACCTTCGGATGGCATCATTGTGGCACTGCAGGAGGCCCAGGATGGACATGTCATCTGAGGAATGGGAGGGGGAGTTGAAATGGTTTGCGACTGGGAGGTGCAGTTGTTTAGTGTGAAGGTAGGTGTTCTGCAAAGCGGTCCCCAAGCCTCCACTTGGTTTCCCCGATGTAGAGGAGGCCACAACGGGAACAGTGGATGCAGTATACCACATTAGCAGATGTGCAGGTGAACATACACTTGATGTGGAAAGTCTTCTTGGGGCCTGGGATGGAGGTGAGGGAGGAGGTGTAGGGCAGGTGTAGCACTTCCTGAGGTTGCAGGGGAAAGTGCCGGGGGTGGTGGGGCTGGAGGGGAGTGTGGAGCAGACAAGGGAGTCACGGAGCGAGTGGTCCCTCTGGAAAGCAGATAAGGGTGGGGAGGGAAAAATGTCTTTGGTAGGGGGGTCAGATTGCAGATGGCGGAAGTGTCGGAGGATGATGCATTGGATCCAGAGGTTGGTGGGGTGGTACGTGAGGACGAGGGGGATTCTGTTTTGGTTGTTATTGCAGGGAGGGGGTGTGAGGGATGAGTTGCAGGAAACGCAGGAGGCACAGTCGAGGGCGTTCTCGACCACTGAGGGGGGAAAGTTGCAGTCCTTGAAAAACGAGGACATCTGAGATGTATGGGAGTGAAATGCCTCATCCTGGGAGCAGATGTGGCGGAGGCAAAGGAATTGGGAATAGGGGATGGCATTTTTGCAGGAAGGTGGGTGGGAGGAGGTGTATTCTAGGTAGCTGTGGGAGTCAGTGGGCTTGAAATGGATATCGGTTTCTAGGTGGTTGCCCGATATGGAGACAGAGAGATCCAGGAAGGAAAGGGAGGTATTAGAGATGGTCCAGGTGAACTTAAGGTTGGGGTGGAAGGTGTTGGTGAAGTGGATGAACTGTTCGAGCTCCTCGTGGGAGCACGAGGCAGTGCCTCGTGAATCAAGTCGTTTTATCCCTTGCTGCTTTACATCACATTGTCCACTGATACAGCATGGACTTTACTTCATATCTTCACTATTTCCTTCTTTTTTTAATTTTCTGCATATCTTAAGTATTTTCCAGACTTGGTTTGCAACCCACTTGTCTTTTGCCTCCATATATTACTTTGCATTTTTCACTTCACTTTTTCACTTGGTCTTATTTTAAGTGTTTTTGTTTCATATTTTTTAAATGTTAATCCCCCCTCACCCCTCCACCAACTATGTTTTCTCTATTTTCCTTTTGTTTTCTGAAGAGTCACATTGGATTTGAAACATTAGCTCTGTTTCTCTCTCCACAGGTACTGCCAGACCTGCTGAGTTTCTCCAGCTTTCTGTTTGCATCAGATTCCCAGCAACTGCAGTACTTTACTTTCATTTATTCTTCTTCTGTGTCTATTTTTGACTTTTCCTCACGACTATTTATTTCTTGTTTCACTCACGGAAGTTTTAATGTTGATCCAGAACTGTTTCATGTTCTTAAATATTGAGTTATAATCAATGTTGCCTTTTTTCTCATCCTCCATACCAATATTGCTTTCAGTTGAGGGAAAGAGAATAACCAATTGACATTAATTTTGATTCAAAGCTCATCTCATTTGTACCTATCTTGGTTTCACAAGATAGTAGGAACTGCAGATGCTGGAGAATCTGAGATAACAAGGTGTAGACCTGGATGAACACAGCAGGCCAGGCAGCATCAGAGGACCAGGAAGGCTGACGTTTTGGGTCTGGGCCCTTCTTCAGAAGGGTCTAGGCCTGAATTGTCAGCTTTCCTGCTCCTCTGATGCTGCTTGGCCTGCTTTGTTCATCCAGGTCTACACCTTGTTATCTCAATGACTGGTTGTCTGCTGAATAAGCAGTTCTCGGTCAGGTTAACACTGGGAAAAGTGCAACTGGAGATATTACCTTTATCAAGGGGAAGAAAAACAATGCAACATTCTCATGAAGAGTGACCAGTGACTTGTGTTTCTAATGCCTGTATCGAGAATGTCTCTCAAGGCCAAGAAAGGGCTTGTCTTGGTTGAGTACTTCAGATGGGTCAGTTTTTGTCCAATGTGTGCAGGAGGGTTTCCTGACACAGTATGTAGATAGGCCAACAAGAGGCGAGGCCACATTGGATTTGGTACTGGGTAATGAACCAGGCCAGCTGTTAGATTTGGAGGTAGGAGAGCACTTTGGTGATAGTGACCATAATTCGGTTACGTTTACTTTAGCGATGGAAAGGGATCGGTATATAAAGCAGGGCAAGAGTTATAGCTGGGGGAAAGGCAATCATGAGGCGATGAGGCAAGATTTAGGATGCATAGGATGGAGAAGGAAACTGCAGGGGCTGGGCACAATTGAAATGTGGAGCTTGTTCAAGGAACAGCTACTGCGTGTCCTTGAGAAGTATGTACCTGTCAGGCAGGGAGGAAGTGGTCGAGCGAGGGAACCGTGGTTTACTAAAGAAGTTGAATTTCTTGTCAAGAGGAAGAAGGAGGCTTATGTAGAGATGAGGCGTGAAGGCTCAGTGAGGGCGCTTGAGAGTTACAAGTTAGCCAGGAAGGACCTAAAGAGAGAGCTAAGAAGAGCCAGGAGGGGACATGAGAAGTCTTTAGCAGGTAGGATCAAGGAAAACCCTAAAGCTTTCTATAGGTATGTCAGGAATAAAAGAATGACTAGAGTAAGATTGGGGCCGGTCAAGGACAGTAGTGGGAAGTTGTGC